AATTAAAAAGATCAAGTGCGTATAGCATTGCCTTTGAATCAAATCTTTTTCTATGTCATGGTTCACGTTGTCCTTAAAACGTTTGAATGTTAAATTCACAAGGGCTTAGACTAGTAACGTTTGTTATAAATATTCAAATAGAGATCGTCCTGCCACATAATTTTCATTTTGTCAATAATCGACATATCCTACTAATAGAACCTGACAATTCAAGTCACTCATTGGCGTCCTATTTCAGTGGCCATTACATATCGTCCTAATAATGCACTGAGAAGTAAGCACGTCTTTCACTTGATGAATCGAGTTCCAGGATCAGCTTAAGATACTACCTGTTTTTGGATGGATTAACATTATCAAACTGATTAAGTGTCTTTAGGTTTCATGTCATGTCACGATGGTTGATGTGTATGTTGATCTGTTCAGGGGTGTGGGGGTTGGGGTGTCTCTTTCATCCCGAGACTCTTGTCGACCTCAGTGCACAGAATATATGAGCGATAATCATTCTGATTCAGTTCTAGGAAAGCCGATCAGTGCCTATTCTCTCTTCCTACCAGTTTCGAATACGCGTTATTAAAAGTGCAGTTACCAGTGAAAACTGGTTTACGAATGACATTACATTGAGATTCCTCTCCACGCCAAACTGAAATACCTAGATTCCAGCTAACAATTTTACATTGTCAGAACGTTATGCTTTCGTTGTTACAACGTTATTTTGTGAACTCCTATTTACGTTGTCACATCGTTGTGACGTGACGTTGCAGAGTGACGTGATATTAACGCTGTCAGTAAACATGGAAATTATGTTACTGTGACCTCAGTATATTTATCGTATGGTAATCACAAAGTTTAACACAATAGGTAAATAATGTTCTACGTTTTCTGTAGAAATTTCGAATAATTTCATGTCACTCTTGCTTTTACGATGTTCGGGAAAGAGACAGTTCATGTCACATCAAAGTTTCAGAAACGATGAAACATTTTGTAATAGTCGATACACAATGTTTTGACAATGTATATATGTATATGCTTTAGTCCATTGAAATAGCGTTATATAATGACATAATATCAACGTTGTGATAACGTTGTGTGTCAGCTGGGATACAGTGAAATACGGTTCCAAACCCGCGTATTCACATATCGTATATATTATTGTCCAATATCTTAATATTTATGGGGAAGCTTTTTACAATGACGCCCCAAGCCATAGATTACGACGGTCCCTAACAATGTAGTGGCCTCATGGTTGCGTTGATGCTCTCATTCACTTGCAGAGACATCGCCTTTAAAATAGAAAGGGCATCATCATGTACAGGCACTAAACCTAACACCTATCTTCGCCATAAATCACATGGCCGATGACCCGGGTTCCATTTCCCCACATGGGTACACTCACTCTTAAATCACGTGACAGCGCTTATCACTGAGTTCCGATATTGCCTGTCCGAATTCTAAGAGTGGTTAACACGTTGGGATAGGATCTATCAACATATGTTCAATGATATGTGACCTCAAACGTCTAGCGTACGCTTCAAAATTACTATTTTGTACAAGTATTTATATTATTATATTTTAAAATAATATACGCTATTAAAGTGGCACCATCAGACTTTCATAGATTACGTACCCTTTAACGAAGGTACGTGTCTTTTCAGGAAAATACATATGAATCAAAGTACCCTGAGCATGTCAGACATAGGTTTGGTTTACAAATCTTCATCACATTCTCCAAAGTTATAACTGAGCTGATTATTTCTCCTGTAATGTACATCAAAGATAATGTTTTCCACCGATATATATAAATAGACCAAAGCATCCAGTTTTACATAATGGCACAGTTAAAACATCAATGCGTGGAAAATCTTTATGTTTCTGCCCGCAGTTTATCTAAATAATATTCAAACCTTCCAAATGGAAGACAATGTGCTGCACCTTGAATTTCGTATTGATTACTATTGCGTTCTTACCGTGCGCGACGGGTTGACATTTAGTCACTCATAAATAATCAACAACATTGCTTTTGTTGTGACTGTTGCCATGTTACGAAGTCATCAGTGCAGCCATTCGAGGTGCGCCGGGTCATAGTATTCATTAAGATCTGTTAAGAATGACACCACCGTTACATGAACAATGCTTGAGGATTTAGCTTTTTATCTCATTGTTGAGTTGGATATGTTGTGAGCAACACAAACTCTTTCGACGTTGACACAGTAAAGAATAATAGCTACCCACCTGAATCTACGCTATCAGGTTGCCAAAGCTAATACGTAATACAGAAATTAAGAACATTAGATATTTGAATACGAGTTAATCGAATGGTTTCTATGTATATATAGATACATTTAGGGTCAATAATTTCTTTTATAGAGGTTAGAACACATGAGGCTAGTACCATTATGATCAGTTAAATCAGTTACATATTTCTTAAAACAATGTGGTACTCAGGAAGGGAACTAACATGCATGTCACCTCTTACCATACTACATGTATGCGCGTTTTGAAAGGCAGTAAAGGACTAAATGAACGTATTAAGAATATAGTTAATATTTGTATAGCATTCCGATACTCTGTTCGGAGGTCTGAATCCCAAAACAACTATGTAATGTCAGCGTAAAGACGAAACAATAGTGTGTGTTTCCTTTTACTAAATCTCACTGGTTTAAGAAGAGTGAACAGGTGGGTTCGATCTTCTTTTATTTAAAATTGATCACTTGTACTGATTGAAATTGATGGTCAAACTCCAGTCACTCCATATACGAGTTAAGAAATGGAACTATTCATGGTCAATGGGGTCGCCTTCTGAGGACAGGTCTAATAAATTTAAAACTATCATGCCACCAGTGTCCTCTACTCTCATGAGATTGTTTCAACCATGATAAGAGCGGTTTCCGTACTTTAACTTGCTTTACTGGCACCCCCCCCCCCCCCAACTTTGTAAAGCCATCAATAAAAGAGAAGGTCAGAACATTAGTATGCATATAGTTTTAAGTAAGTGTATATCTCAAGTTACTTTCTTTGAGATGCTGACAAGGCCATTGTTGTTTCACACCCCACGAAAGGTTGTTATTTTGTGAACTCCCATTTACGTTGTCACATGTTGCATTTGTGAGTGAGTGAGAGGAAGGACACTTCATTAGAGGCCAAGTCGGAATCGAATTTAGGTCTTTTGTTTACCACTTTTGTTTCCGAAATATGATGAAGTGTTTGCTATGAAAGATCTGTTTCTACTTTTAGACATTGCTCTTCCTGCACAGATGACAGTTATTTATATATAAATGTTTTCTTCGCGTTTTTAGACCCGTGGACAGCTGAAATAGAATTTCATCTGTTCACTTCCTTTCTCTGTGTATTTATCTACATTTCCTCCTCGGTACTTTCTCTGGAGTTGTACATGACAAAATGCTTCCACTGTACACTGAAGAATCTTTTATAGGAATTTTCGGTAATAAACTGACGGGCAAAAGAAATAACTACAAAAGATTGATCCATAAAACAAAATGAACAGAGAGGAGCGGCTTTCATCGGAGAATAGCACCTTCTGCCACTCACGTCGCTGCCAACGTCGAACCGTCCGGATCCATCTAAGTCTCCGTCGACGATGTTCGGCTGTCAACTGCTGGCCCCGGAAAGGTCTGCAAGCGCGGATTCCATAGGACCTCAGTCGTCTGGCTACGGTGTATCGGCGTACACGGTGACTTAGGCCATTCGATGCTGATGACGTCACAATCAGGAAGCAGTTTCTGAGATGCAGCGTGCGTAGATACTGGTCCTCCTGGAGCGTTGTGACTCGAGGTCTGCTTGATCGGCAGTCCTGTCTCTGCATCTCTGCATGAGTTTAGTGACGGTGACGCGATGACAGCCATGCGTTTTTGCAACGTGGGTGTGAAAGGCTCCCATTCCGATCATTCCGATCGACCGTTCTCGTTGTCGTAAAGTTAATCGACCCATTCATTTGGTGGTTTTAGAACAAATGTCTGACAACCCGGTAAGGACAAACTTTATGGATGGCAACTTCTTTATACAGGTGGTACGATGTTTCGATACAGATTATTGTATCTGTCCATCCTAGTCTAACTCTCCAACTTCTAAAATGCCACTTAAAGAAGTCTGACAATTAGTTTGCTCTGGTTTTATACCCGTTTGGCATTCACGTTCTTAGGTTTGCAAACATGCAAATCACATTTGCACAAAATGGCGAACACGCATGCATTGCATGCTGTATTTCCAAGTCGAAAACGTATTGTTCCTTATGATCGATGTGTGTTCATGTGATGGTGATTGCAGCTGAATTTGGAATTTGGACACATAATGTAAAACCGTGGGTGTCGTGTTATCTGTTCATAGTCCCATGTTGTCATCGGTTTGAAGACATCATAGAACAATAAATAAAATGAAAAAAAAAGTCTTTTCTTTTCGATACAATTTTTACAAAATATTCCACAAGATACAATATATTGAAGAATGTATAATTGTCAGCTGATCATACCTCTCAGCCAAACCTTAAATATGTCTCAGAATGTCAGTGGAAATGAAAACCCAGCCTTGCCTATCCTCTAAAGCAAATTCCGTTGATGTACATGGGAAAAGACATGGCTTTGAAACGAATATGAAAGGCTTCACTGAAAATCAATGATGACTCTAGGTGTTCGTGGAAAGGTTAAACAAATTATTATTCCTTACATGATTTACGTCATTTGTATTTTTAGATATGACTGCCTTTTCGTCAAGAATGGAACGTGATGGACGAGGCTACAAGTTAGTATTATACGAGTTATTTGTTTATCATAGAACGTTGCCGTTGGATGCTGCTTTTAGAAACGTTTAATAATATATTTTCTTGCAATTTTAATTGATATTATAAAGTACACCCATAACATCCATCATGTCCCTTATTGTAATTTTGGGGTCGAAGTCGATTTTTAACATTCTCGTAAAACCCCAAAGAAAATAACATTTGGGACTCGTATATATAAAAAGGCTTAATGCTGATATGTTTCAGCATCGAAAAGAAAAAACTTTTGAGGGAAAATGAACGAAACGTTTCAGCAATCGGAAACTCACGTGGCGGTGTCTTGTTGGTTCATCTACATGGACAGTTAGAAGGCGATTTGTTCCTCGGTAATTTTGATCAAGCATTTGATCAAAGTTTGAAGAATTTACTTCCTGGTGACGGATGCCTCTTCACTGACGCATATGTGAGAGAATGGCTTCATATAAAGGATGATTATAGGAGTTTTTTGACTTCGTAGCGTTGACTATATCTAACTCTGTAAGTGTATCCACAGTTGAATATAATACCAAAGTGTCTTCTGATCACCAAGTAGAAAGACCAACAGCTTCAAATCTTTTACACATACTGACAAAAACACCAAAAAAGCATCGTGACTGCTCCAGTGATTAATGGAATTCCAACCGACCTGCAAGGATTGCATGAAAACAGAAGTACACAGCTGAAGGTTTTCTATGGAAGTCAATTCGAGAATAAACCTGAAGAACTGGCTAACTACATATGGAAGCATTTGCGCTTTCAAGAGTATATGAGCTGCATGTCGAAAATTGAGGGTGGAGGCTCATATTACGTTGGCATACAGGAAGAAAACGTCACTGGTTCATCTTCAAAACTCCCAGTTATAAAAGGAATTAATTTGAAGGTTAGCCAAGACAGTCTTGAGAAGAGTTTATTAGACAAATTAAGCACCGTGATCATTCTGGGAATTGTCGGTTCTGTCGGTGCTGCACAAGATCTCATAGAAGTACGTTTTCATGATGTTTGAAACTCGGAAATAGTTTTAGAAATCGCAGTTCGGTTTGTTGCTGGAGTTGTCGTTTATGACTGTGGACCAGAAGCTGATGAGACTGTTGACGGTGGGAAAAAAGGAATTACTAAAATGCGGTTTGATAGGTGGTTGGAGAAATTCAAAAGCGTTTGAGTATCATAAACACACAATTTATGTTATGAACATACCTAAGTGAAAACGTCATGGCATCTGAAAGAAGTTCGAGTGTCAGCTCAACATACCTCTCATATTCATCAGCTGGAAATATTGTTTGGTCATTAACTGATTTAGATGATTCATTCTCCTCTGGAAAAACAACGCCCAATGACGATAAAGGTGAAGAAAAATATTATAAAGGTATGAGTTCAGTCTCACTGAAAATGTCGTTGATGAATCAACATCAACAGGTCAAAGAATAAAATATTACTGTTCTAAGAAGGACAGTTTTGTAGTAAAGACATTCCATAAGTTGTTCTCGTAGTACAAGCGATCTTGTGAAAACAGCGGCTTTGATGATTCTAATTCATTTATTCCATAGTGTTTCAGATAAGCGAGAAAGCAGACTTCCTTCGTGATGTGAACAGAGATGAATCATATGACACATTGATAGAGGATATCTTATCAAAAGTAGCAGGTAACATATATATCCGATTAGCCTTTGGCGACACAGCGACAACATAATCCTGTGCTGTCTCCGTATAATTATTAGACAGATAACTGCATTTGTATCATGTCCATATCAGTAAAGTTCGGTCCTCATGTAAATGACCATTTAACAGAAACCATTCTTTCTTCACGCGTATACTAATGTTTTCGATATTCATCAACAGGTAATGGGTTGGTTATATACCCCCCATCTCATAAATACTCTGACGCAGCTGTGAGCCATGTGAGAAAAATACTCATATGTCCAGATACATTTTGGGAACGTGCATTTGTGTATACTCAAAGTGTTTACTGGTTACACTTAACGAAGACACAGAAACTGAGAAAGCAAAGGTGCCCCGGTGTTTAGATCGAGATGTATGCATTTTCACAGAGAACTATCCTCCAATCGTATTTAGTCTCATGGAGGCGTTGGACGGTATGAAAGAAAATGGAACACAACACGTGACATCCTGGGCTCCATTTTTGGCATCAGAAATTGCTGTTCGACTAGCCAAAACAAGTGCAACGCTCCTTGAACTGACACCAGCCCACCATCGGATCACCGACTGGGAACGATTGATGTAAGTCTGAAAATATATGACACATGAGAACATGTATATGCACACGCTGTTGTGTTACTTCCATTGCCGCCTCCCTCTTGTTCATAACTCATGTAACTTAGATATTCAACGAATGAGACTGGATACATGTCCAATCTAAAGAGAACACACATACGCACAGACATACATTCAGACACAAACACACACACACACACACACACACACACACACACACACACACACATTCAGACATACATATTATTCAGCTTACCAAGTTTCCAGTTAAGATCACGTAGCTCGTCAGCTTTTAAACATCTATACTTATGTCAAACAAAACGGAATTTTTAGAATCCTTTCATTCCGATATTGAAATATAGGATCATTTTTCTGACATGGAAAGTAGAACGCGCAATCCGTTGGGATGTTACGCCATTTAGGGGCATTTGTTTTTCGAGCTAAACCGGCCAGAGTAAACCCCTCACATTATGACGTTATTAGTGCCAGTTGATTTAGACTGGTCGTTTGTCTAGTACCATATTAATAGATAATCGCGTGAAATAGTGTGTGGACAGTACGAAATATGTATACAGGCCAGATTTTGACGTACTCATTACTTGCGGTACGCGACCTTCACAAGGGACACAGTAGGCGGGATATTCAAGCATCGTATAAATTAGATAAATGTAAGTGAAACATTCTGGCAATCTGCGTTTTGTTATTTTCTTTTTGTTTTCATTGTTACATGTTAGTTCTACTGAGAGGACTCAGTGCAGAGCAGATCACTGCTCCAAGCACTTACTGACATTTACTTAAATCAAACGTTTACTCAGAGCTTATATATTTACACCTTTTCAATGACTGGTCCCTCACTTAGGCAAGGTGCTTACACTAGTAGGTATTTGGAATATTTGGAAAAGGTTACATTTGCTTGTTTTTGTATTTGAGTAGTATTTGATCCAAATCTTGCAGTATTTTCTAATTTCTTTAGGATGTATAGCAATAGCAATGTGAATATGACATTAAAACCCTACATGGCATTGCTAATTTCACGAAATGGGTTAGAAAACTGTTCTTTTTATCACATTGCTTATTTCCAGATTAGATGTTACGTATATACAAGTATTGGGACGTGATTACAGTCGCTATTGTTTAGTACATTTTTATTTATATTTATTCAAGATTTTGTGATTTCTTTCACCTTTCGTAAATATGTGCTCGGAGCCATATCTTAATCCCTTGTTCACGTGCAAACTTGTCATTGCTAACAACTTAAAAGTGCCAAGTAGAATAATGTTACGAATAGTGAGATACTAAGTGACCTTACCGTTTAGAAAAAGAAATCTAACATTTCGCTACTTAAATTCTGTATCTGTATAATGTATGTTGTTGTTTTTACAGGAAAAACAATCCATCACTGGACGTAAAAGAAGGCGATGCAAATGAATGTTTTGAGATGATGTGTTTCCAGCATTATGTCTCTGAGTGTTCCGATGTGAAAATGGTCGGACAAAACACAAACGTGTGGAACTTCAAAACAGAATTAGCCCATGGTATGTGACATGGTTTTCATTAGACACATCCGCTTAATTTACAGTGAAAATTAAGATTTAAGTGACATTATATGCACATACATGAGGTGATAGTAGACCTGACTAAGTGCATTGAATTAACGGTCAATATATTTTGGACCGATCGAGCGTTTCCCTTCTTCGTGATAGTTAGAGGTTAATGTCGTATCAGCAATATATACATGTACAATAGCTGCATGTAATCAATAATACGCATGGCCATGTTTTACTTATAAAAAGGCAGTTCTAAACTTAGACACATTACATTATCGCAAAACACTGAGGAGGCAGGTCTTTTGCAGAAATGGATGCAGGAAAATCAACTCAACGGGAGTTCTCAAGACTCAAGGTAAAGTTATAGTGTGTTGATGATCCATTTGCTACCAGATCATGCAAAGAAAAAAATATTTGAATTCAAAAGAATTAGAGTATTTAAAGTATTTGATTTTTACATTGATGCTTGGACTACCCTTGCTTGAGTTGCACAAAATGTTGATGGTGCAGTCGTGCAGACAATCCTTAGGCGAGGAAAATATGTTTTAATGAATGGTTTTGCATTTGAAAATTAATAAAAAATATTTAACATTTGATTGGTGTCGTATACATCAAATTCACTGTCACGGTATAGTCCTGTATTCTCTGCAGACAGTACAGTGGGCATACAGCATAATGTCTATCAAATTAACATGTTCAGTCGAGTATGAATTAGTTCATTTAGACATCAATCATTTTCATTGTGATCTAATATTTGCTGCGTTTGTTATTACAGTTTGCAACCAGCACTCATCAAAACTTTTCCGCAAAACCGAGAGACATCATCTATCCGTGGGAATTGAAAATCCAAGTAATGCCTACCAAAAGGCCCGTGCGCATGTTTGCTCCTCGCCTGTACCCAAGTACCAGACAGAGAACATATACACTCAGCTCAAAATTTCGAGATGCTGAAGACAAAAAAGACAGTGGATACCGTCTTAAATGGTCAGCAGGGAACGAAATAAACATAAAACATGAATTATCTGAAAAGTGAGGACATCATGCCACCTCGCAGTGATCAGCCCTACTGCAGAATTTCTTAACAACACTACAGAGCTCCTTTGACTTCCCTTGGCAACACTCACTGGAGCTGAATATATAATTGCACAGTGGTAGCTGGACGTTGTGCCCGGTCATGAACTAGGGTGAACTGTATGGCCTCAGACCATATCCATGTAATGTACGTGGGTGTGAGTTCTTTGGTCGCATAACACATAAATATTATGTCAGCAGAAACTTTACAAAACTCAAATTATATAATCAGCTTCATTGACAAGCTCATTTAAGAAACTTTATCTAAATAATGTGCTGTAGTTAAGTATTGTTTCTTGTCTCAGACATTTCGTTTTCTACCCATATCAAATGGCTATTTCAAGGAAACTGAGGTAGACACATAATTTATATTTTTCATGCTGATGTTGATACTAGCATATGTGAATATTAATGGTCAATTTGAATCGGATGAAATCTATTTTTACTTTTAAAATTACTTTGTATTTTTGTTCTAGAATGTCTTATAATCTTTCAACATGTTGATATATAATGTTCATCTCTGAAAAGTAGTAATGGAAGAGTTCTAGTAGGTGATGCATATTAGTATATATTAATCCCAGTTTGTGATCTCTTTTGTTATGTTTTGTTTTTAAAAATGTATATGGATTTTCCGGTTTGTTTGATTTAGTGTTCTGAAAGATGGCTTATGTGTGGAACAATGAGGACTATAGTTTTTATACACATGCGTTTTCATATATGTTGTTGCTTTTAGCAGTATTTAGTTGATCGTGTAAGTTTCAGTTTATATTTTCTTTGTCGATATTTACATATTTAGTATGTCAAAGTCAACAACTCTACATCTGAGACGACCGTCACTAATTCAAGTGTTCCCCAGGGATGTGTACTGTCTCCTATGCTCTTTACTCTTTACACCAATGACTGTGTCAGAGTAAAGTTTGCCGATGATACAGCAATAAGCAGCCTCCTGTTCGATTCCAACAAAGAAGAAGTATCAGCCTTCACAGCGTGGTGTGAAGATAATTTTCTCGAACCTCGAAAATTAAGAGCTCATCGTTGACTTTCGCAGGATACGATCACCAATCACACTTGTAACTATCCAGGACCAAGAAGTCGAAGTAGCTGAAGAGTGCAAGTATCTAGGGACAATTATTGACAATAAATTTCCTTCTCACAGAATACCGATGCTAGCCTGTCTAGAATTCCTACGAAATCTCCGTTCATTCCAAATAGACTCTACCATTATGAATGTTCTACAAATCATGTATACAATCTATTTTAAAGTTATCAATACAGTGCTGGTATGGACCCTTAACACTCCAGAACCAGAACAAGTTGAATAGAGGTGTGAAAGTTGCAGGGAAAATAGCTTCTTGTGATTTTGGAATTTTAGAAACTCTATACATTTCAACTGTTTATAATCTTACCTTAAGAATTTTAAATGACCCATCTCATGTTTTAAACTTGTTATAAGCTTTTACCCACTGGTCTGTTATCTGTTGGGTTAGGCCTTATTATGTTTAACTTTCAGGGATTCTACATGTCCTACTGCTTTGGATGTCTTAAATATAATTGTTTATGTTTGCATGTGCTTTCTCATATTTATATGTCATATACATCTGATGTACACAAAATTCCCTCACGGGCAATAACGTATTATATCTTATCTTATCTTAGTCACATTTGTTTGTTTTCGTGTAATAACCCCCCCCCCCCAAAAAAAAAAAACCCAAACAAAACAAACAAAAACAACAACAACAACATGTGTTCGTCAATGGTGTTCCTTTCGTAACCCTGGTACGTGCCATCCAGCTGTTGAGGTGATAATTGGGTCACCTGAGAATAGTCCTAATCTAAAGGATACTGTGCAAGGTAATACTGAAATATATGAAATTATACTTTCATGAAATGTTATATTTCACTAAAGGTATACAACTTTGGCAGTTCTCAACCGACGAAATGCCGACGACAATGTATTTAGGCCTGTTTTCAGCATCACAATGACATCGACGTAGCCATGGTCACGAGACAGGCCGAAGGACAAAACATGTCATTCACTTTGAAGATTTTTGAACCGCTGGTACAACATGAAGAACAAACTACTACTATGTGTTATTGACGGACAAACGAATAAATTATCTTTCGCTGTTGAAAGAGCCCGGTGGGTGAATGGAAAGTAAAATTCTCTATTTCGCTTTGGCCAAACCAGAAACAGAATGCGCGTAATAGGACAATGATCGCGTGTTGTTGCTGCTTGAAATTTAGAAACAAGAAAACTGACGTTTGAGATTTCAGCATTTTCAGACAAAAATCGCTTTCCCAAAATTGTATACAATTCTCCAAACTTCAGGATACGAACACTGTTTAGTCCAGGCTGTGCGATTAGTGAAACGTATTGCAGAACGTGTTGCAGAACGTGGACTTGACGGCTCATGGTTCCACTTCTAGTGTGCCTGCCAAGACTGCATACTGCTACCAACAGACTGAAAAGGGGAATAAATAACACATACACACACACACACACACACACACACAAATAGATGCTGGTGAAGTCATTCACTAAGTCTGCCCGGAGTCGGTCATTCGTGGGGAAGCTTTCTGCGAAGTCACTGCATCGTGTGTACATGGAGTGTGTGGAACAGAATAGCCATCGAACCGACTCTTTCGCCTGGATGAAGTCCGCCGGTCGCTGCCCAGGACCAGTCACTTCCCACTCGCAATCGTCGCCTAAATGTGATTCTAAAAGAAAATATTGACATGAAATGTCGATTATGTAATGAATTAACAGAGACTGTCCAACACCTTGATAGTGGATGCCCTTCCTTGTCACAAACAGCATATCTTAAAAGACATGATGGCATCGCTCGTTGCTTCTACTATCGTCTTCACCTGTGGTTTTGGCCCCGAGTTCCATCCATAATACGCCCCTGAACATGTCCACGGCGTCATGGAAAATGATGCCTTCAAACGTCTTTGGAATAGGTCCATATACGGCTTCAGAAGAATTCCAGCCAACAAACATAATCTTGTCCTTTTTGATCGGGCCAATGAATTTATTTATATCATTGAATTTTCTGTCCCTGTGACAGCAACGTGATTGGCAAGATTTAGGAAAACTATGCAGACCGCGCTTTTGAAATGTCTCGCTTACAAAGTCACTGTCGTCAGGCTTGCCTAGGTGGCGCTGCACAGTGGCGACACACGTTTGAAAGTGCTCTTCACATTTTTCTTTTTATTTGTGTTTTTTGTCCTACAGACTTTGTGTTTGTACCTGTGATACTTGTGCGGATGCTACATAATGCCTCGGAAATATACAGGTTGTATATTTCTCACGATACTTTTGGTCAAAGTACCTTTCCACCTCAGCTTGGCCAGTATGGTCAACCGACCAGTCTTGATGGACACCATAGTGTCAGACCTATACTTCACTACGAATACGATGAACTTGTTTCCCTCAGAGAAAGTGCTTCAACGCTGGATTTCAATCTGTATCTACCACAGGAATGTGTGCTGAACAATTTTCAGAGCGGCAAATCAAATCCTGACACTAAACGCAGAAAACGAGGTAAGCGAGGAGGTGTGAGACGACGTGTGAGATCTCGAAAGTCGAGACCCTCCCTCCCAACAATCCTCTTATCTAATGTGAGATCTCTTCGGAATAAGATTGATGAACTTCATGCATGCACACGATATATGTACGAATTTAGAGATAGCTGCTTGTTATGTTTCACTGAAACCTGGCTCAATGACACCATTAGTAACGACAGTTTGATTCTGCCAACATTTGGTTCATCTATACGCTTAGACAGGAGTGAAGAGAAGACTGGTAAATCCATAGGAGGCGGAGTATGTATATATGTTAATCAAACATGGTGTCAGAACATTGTGGTACGAGTGAAGATATGCACTCCCGACACTGAACTACTCTCTGTCTCACTACGACCATCTTATCTTCCCCGTGAGTTCAGGCAGATATTCACGATTCTCACATATATCCCATCCAGTGCTTACAATAACAACGCAGCTGATGTGCAAAAGCTTGAAACAATCTCGCCCGACGCTCCTAAGCTTGTGCTCGGCGACTTTAACAGTGCGCCACTAAGAACAGTTATACCTCACTATCAGCAATAAGTCAAATGTCCCACACGCCAACAGAAAACCATCGACTTATGCTACGGCAATATCAAAGATGCCTACACTGGGAAATCAAAAGCTCCTCTTGGTTCGTCAGACCATAATTGTGTTTACCTTGTTCCAATATATAGACAGAGACTGAAGCGCGAACCAGAAGTTAAGAAGACGTGGGACACGGATTCAATCCAGCAATTACAGGGTTGCTTTGAATGTACTGATAGGGACGTATTTTTCGTTAACTCATCTGACCCCTGTGCTTTGTCTGTTGCTATAACTGATTACATAACTTTCTGTGTAGACTCAATCACCCCGAAAAAGGAAATAACGATATATCCTAATAACAAACCCTGGGTGACGAAAGAATTAAAAATAATGCTTAATGACAAGAAAAAAAGCCTTTTGTACTAATGATATGTAAGAAATGTATGGAAGACTATAGAGACAAAGTGGAGCAACAATTCTACCAGAACAACAGTCGTCAGGCGTGGAAAGGCGTGAAAACTATGATCGGCCAGCAGAACAAGTCATCACATATCATCGTTGCAGACGACCGGAAGTACGCTGAAGATCTAAACCAGTTTTATTCAAGATTCGATACGTTTGACTTCACCAACCAACGCAAAACTGTCATAGACGGTATCATACCAGACAATGAGGATGCTATCACTATTAAACCAGAGATAGTCAAAACCAAGTTTTCCAAGCTGAATATACGGAAAGCATCAGAACCTGATGGACTGGATGGAATTATCCTCAAACGATGTTGTGATCAGCTGTGCCATGTTTTTAGACGACTTTATCAACTCTCATTTGATCAGCATATCATACCAACAATATGGAAAACCTCAAAAGTCATTCCCGTGCCTAAGAAAAGCACCCCATCTGTATTGAACGACTTCCGTCCAGTTGCCCTCACGTCAATAGCCATGAAGTGTTTTGAAAGGATCATGCTAAATACGCTGATATCTAACGTTGGACACCTCTTTGACCCTCTTCAATTTGCACATAGAGCACGACGGGGTGTGGAAGATGGTAAAGTTGTTATTTTGAACAGTATTTACAAACATTTAGAACCCCCCAAATCTTATGCTAGAGTTCTTTTTATTGATTTTTCCTCTGCTTTTAACACTATTCAACCAAATATTTTACTGCAAAAACTTTTATCCATGAATGTGAACCGGAACCTTTTACTGTGGAATGAGCAATTCTTGATTAACCGACCCCAATATGTGCACGTGAATCAGCCAAACTCAACAACAATGTACACTAATACTGGAGCACCTCAGGGCTGTGTCATTTCGCCCGTGCTTTTCATTCTGTATACTAATGATTGTGTAAGCCGTAAGCCTGACAGACCACCTCCGTGGTGTAGTGGTTAGAGCGTCCGTTAATTGCAAATAAAATCTCTGGTGTGTCTGTTTCGGGTTGATCTTCTCTTTTTAATTTCCGTGTTCTTAACCTCGCTGAGAGAATTTTATCTGATTCCAGCCATGTTTTATTTTCTGAATATCATCCTTTACCTTCAGGCCGCCGATAACAAATGCCCCGTTTTAAAACAAAAAGAGTTCAAAATTCTTTTATTCCAGCAAGTATTCGCCTTTCAAATGACAGTTAGCTTTGTCTGTCTATTGTGTTGTTTTGTGTTTTATTAACCTATATGTCATTTTTATATGTAACCCTGTGACCACTTTCAAATGTAAAAAGAATTCCCCTTGGGGTAATAAAGTATTGTCATTGTCATTGTTATTATCATTGTTCTCGGTGCCCTTGGTTTGGTGCTCTGACGCTCTTGGTCATGCAAAAGGCTGCAGTGTTGGGGAGCCTTCAGATTCTCCTGAAAGTTCTTGGTGGGTTCGAGCAGGCAGTGCTTCCTGAGAAGTCCCATTCGCTGTCTGGGCTGCGTGTAAAGTGATATACCATTGGTACTCAGCTCAGTTCATTCCATCCAGTAACAGAATCTGAGGTCAAGAAAATAGTGCTTTCGTCAAAACCAACTTCATGTGAGCTTGATCCTATCCCGACAAAATTCCTTTTGAAAATACTGGATATCATTCTGCCAATCATTACCAAGATCATCAACCTAAGTTTATTATTAGGTTGTGTACCATCATGCTTTAAGCGAGCTGTAGTCAAACCACTCATCAAGAAAACCACGCTTGACCCTCAGTGCCTAAAAAATATCGTCCTGTCTCAAATCTGATGTTCATGTCTAAAGTTTTGGAAAAAGTAGTCAAACAACAACTCTCGGATCATCTTTCTCAGCATAACTTGACTGATTGTTACCAATTTGCCTACAGGCAGGCTCACAGCACAGAAACTGCTCTAAATTACGTCTTGAACTCTGTCAGATCTGCAGTCGACCATGATGAATCTGCTTTGCTTGTCCTCCTGGATTTATCTTCGGCTTTCGACACAATTAACCATGAAATTCTTCTTCAGCGTTTGGTGAAAGAATTTGGTTTGACTAATACAGTTCTTGACTGGCTAAGATCCTACCTTTCAGACAGAACCATTCCATTCACATCGGAACATCTTCATCAGCCAGTCACACCCTAACCTGTGGA